TACATCTCGGTGTGTGTGTATGTATGTGTGTGTGTATTGTGTAAGTTAGTATAGCTGTTTACTCTGAACAACAGGTGATAGTACCACATTGTCGCAGCTGTAGCCTTATCAAACTATGATAAGACCTACAGGAACAGTATTGGTTGAAAAATATAACACACTCCAGCAATGCATGTGCGTATCTTCCACCTAGTGTATTTCCTTTTAATTTAGCCGGGATTCGATTTTATATTTGCTGCACTTTTACTTAATCAAACGTACCCAACTAATAACAACACTCACGTTCAAATGAGCGTCGTTTTCTGGGACTAATTAATAGGAATAATTAATAGGCCCCAGACATATTTAAAGGTCATTTAGTACCCATTTAGCAATTGAGAATCTGATAAATTTAAATATAATTGTGGGAAAATGGCATTGTAAAATAGTTCAATCCATTTTTGGTGTGCATTTATAAATTATGTATTTAAAGTATTAGGCTACATTTTTTGTATTTAAAGTATTGACTAATCAGTGAAAGATCGGTTGGATCTAAAACAAACAAAAACTCTCCATCAAATAAAAACTGTGTTAAAAATCTTTACCCATAAAACTTGAATGTATTCGAATCAAAAAGATATTATTTGACAGCAAAAAGAATATTATATGATTAATGCAAACCAATGTATAAGACCATAATAAATCTCTTAAATTTCAAAATCCCACAACTACCGTCCATTGTTTGTTATATTAGACTCTAGGATACTAGAGCTACATTATAATATAGACCGGTTGTCGCAATTTATATTTATTTATTTATTTTAATAGCATAGTTGAATGAGCCACACACAGAGAGCAATACAGTATAAAATTATTTATATTATCTCTTAGTTATTATTAATCAGACAGAAATCAGTAATTTAGGTGAGCACAATCTGTCGTTGCTACAATTCAACTACGCCCATTTTGATTAGAAAACTCGCCACGATTATTATAAGGGGTGAAATAGATCTATCAATCTATAGTCAAAGAGGAAGCTAGTAAATATGACTATCAATACGTAATATATTTTTAAACAGCGACCAGTGAGGACATCTTGACAACAGGTCAGTGCAATAGGTTCAACAAATTCTACAACTAGCTTTCCAAGGGATTTTCAAACTTGAATTAAAACTTGTAATACTTAACTCTTTGGCATGTACGTGTAATATTATAACTGCCATCTCAGATTATAACTGAAACTCCATTAACTTACATCTCAGTCTTGATAGAACTGTTTTGTTGAACTGAACGAATGGCTTAACAACGGACAGCTTACAGACTTATCACAGGCGATTATAGATGATGGGTCTCTTAGAACAGGTATGATGTAATCCCAACAAAAATGAGACACTGCCTGGCCCGCTCAGTTTCCTTAACATACTTTAAAATACCCCCGCCGCAGCAAACCTGCCGACTAAGCGAATTTGCTTTGATTTAATTGATTTTCAATTAAATCTATTATAACATTAGGTTTAACAACGAGTACCTAGGTTTGCTGCCCCAAGGAAACTAATAAAGTGTGGTTTTTAGTAAAATATTAATTGCTAAGTATAAAATAAATAAATTTGCCAAATAACATGGGAATTTTCATCCCGGGTCTAGGTCTTTCCGTGCCACCTACGGTAATATCTACTTCCCTGTAGGGAAATTTGCTTACAACTTCATCTGCTAATAAAACAGACGATCTGCTATGATTAACTAATCAATATAAGATCGTAATTTTTTTATGTAGTGAAAAAACAAATATATATATATATATATATATATAAAACAAAGATTTTTTTATTAGTAGCCTGTAATGAGAAATTTGATTATGTAAGCGGAATATCTAAGTTTTCTAGTCCATGCTACTGATCACGTCCTAGATAAAAATATTTAATTTATAAAGTTTAACAGAAACAAATTAGCAAGTGACAATAATGTTGAAATTTTATACCTTCGTACGCTCATGGAAAATGAGCGGTATCATGTCCACGTTTAAACGTAAAGCAAACCTATATTCTGTAGGTTTTAGTTTTAGTTTTTAGTTTGTATGACTTTCAATAAAACTGAAATGTGAACATATTTATTTTTTAGCGAATTTCCCATATAGGGAATAAGCTATTACCGTAGTACTCACGGTAAGACCTGGACCCGGGACCGATTTTTTTTTCGTTTTGAGGTCCCTAGAGGTCAAAAACACCATCCGTTCAAATTCATATATATATATATATATATATGTGTCCGTTAGCGCGATAACTCGAGCAAAAATGATCCGATTTTGATGAAATTTGGTACAAACGTGTAAACCTACGTTTATTCGAACGAGTTCGCGAACCAGCATGATCGGACCATGGGAACGGGGGTTTATGGGGGCTTTTATGGGGAAAAAATGGGTTTTTCCCATTTTTGACCCAAAAAACATAAAATTTTGCAATTTCTTTTGAAACTATTTTGTAGAGCTTAAAAAAACAAACAATTTAGTATATTGAAGCGTTATAATGCGCCTAATGGTTACGGAGAAAATTCCAAAAAATTGTAAATTTAAAATTCCTATGTTATTCTTATGGAGAATAAGTAAACTGTTGTAGTTTGCTTGTTTATAAACATATTTTGCCCAAATTTGGAAAATATTTTTATTTCTTACTAACTATTAACATTTTACATAAAAAACACTTTTACCCTCCCTGTTGCAGCAAACCTAAGTATGTTTTAAACTGATTCTATTTAAATAGGGAATAAATGTGATAATTTTAAGGTTACATTTTAGTGTAAATCCATTCAGGGAAATGGAAATTCGCTTAGTCTGCAGGTTTGCTGCGGCGGGGGTATTTTATTAACTGTGATTTTTGTGATGTTTTAGGTGTAGGAAACTTAGAAATAATTGAACAAAAACCTAATTAAATGCATTGAAATTTAACCAATTTTACTCAAAGTAGTTAGGTGCATATTATGTTTTATCGAATTAGCTCTACTAACTAAAAGTATTTGTTGTAGGTGCCGACAAAATTCGGATTGGGGATTCACCTCCCTGGTTTTAAACATCATGGTGAAGTAATTTAGTTCTGTTTTATAGGTACCAATTGACTGATAACAATCAACCGATTGTGAGTTTGATTGATTCCCATGTATCTTACAGAGCTAGCATGTGAAGCAAATAAAATTCAATACTTTTTGTTCACAGTGTATTTCAAAACTTCGTCTACATTTTTGAGATTTTTTAAGAACACCAAATAGAAACATAATAACCAAATTGTCACAACATAGTAAATAAGACCCATCGTTTATGTCTGGCCACAGAAAACAATGGAAATGTTTCACCATTGCTCCTAATATACTACTTTCTTGAACTCAACATTCGAAAACATCAAAACACCTCTTGCAAAAGTAGATCATCGTAATAACCGCTCGTTGACGTCACAACGCCAAGTGGCCTTGGTTGGTATGCCGTTGCCGTTATGGACGTTCACATACAGCGATTAGTTCAATGACGATAAACACTCTAAATAGCAGCACGGTTATTTAACTGACGTTGAATCCCACTTGATAACTCAGAACATTGATATTTTATGTTTACCATATTGTAAAGCAAATTGGAGACTTATCTAAAGTGCTGATGTTTCTCCGTAGATTCTCATTTTCATCGAATTACAGTAGTACACATCGAAAAAAACTGTGTCCGGACAAAAGCGGACATGGAACAATGGGAACACATCATTAAAGTGGACAATTGCGGACACTAGGGCCTACTACCATCTAACAAGGGGTTGGAAGGTCTCTAAACATATTTCAAGGGTGGATATTGCGGACATAGCCTATATTGTATACGACGGGGAAAAGGGTGCGAGGGAGGTAGATTGCTCGTCAGTAAGTCAAATAAATAATTATGATCGGTCATCACTAGGAGAAATGGAGAAATGGGCTTTACGTTATTAGTCTTATCATGCTGGTTCCCGAAATCGATAGAATAAACGTAGATTTTACACGTCTGTACCGAATTTCGCCAATATCATATAGTTTTCGATTGTGTTGTTGCATACCATCGAAAACCATAAAATGTCCGAACAAAAGAATATTAGCTATTCTGACCAGCGTTTAGATATGTAACTAAAATAAAATATTTTAAATACACTTTGTACACGAGTCGAATGATGTTTAAAAAGGTTAAGAATAAATATACGAAATCGTCATTGGTGTATTGAGAATATTACAAGTGTGGCCTTATTTAACTCAATAACTCAATAACTCAATAACTCGTTTATTGAACCAAGTAGACACAATTACATGTATAGGTTGGGTCAAAATAATATAATATGCATTGGAATTGAACTTAAAATAATAAAATTAACTTAAACATACTTTTTTTTAAATCAATCTGTCTAAAGGAAAATTAAGATAAATAAGATTCTAGCCGTCAGTCAGGAAGTCACGGACGCTGTAGTAGCCGCTGTAAAGATTTAAAATTGAGGCCTACAAATTTTATTGTATGTGGAGACCCTGTACATTATGTCCACCTTGTTATCCACAAGGGGACTAGAGCGTGGTGTTAAATCGATTATGTGAGATAATTCGATTATTCCACGTCCTCGCTCGATTCGTTTGACGTGAAATGGAAATAATACCAAAACCGACGTCGAGCTTTTGAAAACTAAAATATGGCTGAGTATGTGATGGACAAAGAGGAAAATATAGCGCTCTTTGACGTATCTGAGTAGAATTGATATTACCATTTGCACCGGCAAATAATGATATAATAATACGTCCCTTGTATTTTTTTTATATTTAGGGTTTAACCATCTATTTTGACTTACGTGTATGCTTTAGGATTTGAATTACATAAAGTGACCAAATTTTTTGGGTGGTTTAGCTAATTCGTCATCAGAGGTAAAGTATGCGAATCGTGCTGTTCATGTCCACTACCGAAAGATTGGTTTTAATCCTCATAAAGGCTATATTTATAATGTATACTTCAAACTACTAAACAACTTGTGCTGTCCTACCTTATCAACGTTGCGGACGTCCTGCAGGATCTGCTCCGTAGACTCCTCATCTCCGCTGAGCGTGCTGCAGGAGCTGCAGTCTGAAGCCTTCCTCTCCGGACTCCTCAACACAAACTCCGCGTCCAACGCACTGATGGTGGAGTACACATTGCTCCACGAACTAGTCACACTACAATCACTGGACGAGTCTCCTATGGAGTTTTGTCTTTCGGCGTACTCCTTCCGGAACCTCTCGATCTCCTCGAGGGTGATGGTGGACGACGCGTACGCGGGGTCGTCTGAATGGTCACTCACCACGACCGAGGGTGTTCGGAAATACCTGTATCCGGGGTGCTCGTCGTCGTCAGTGAGATAACTCAAACTACTCTCCCTCCTTTCTGTCCCCGGGTCGATTCCTTCGATACTGTCCACTTCACTCATTCTTCTGTCCAAATTGACCTCTCCGACTTCGGCTATCCACGATTCCGTTTTCCCTCGGTCGTTCAGTTTCTCCAGGACGGAACTTCCGTAGTGTTCGATGAACCAACGGTCACTCCGTAACTCTATGTCACTTCTCTCCGAGAGAACTTCGTCTAGAAGGTATGTTTTGCTGCTACTCGCTAACTCTTCCTCGGGAGTTCCAATTCTCAACGGAATGTCTATGGATCCGATTACTTCTTCTCCAACACTCACTTGACGGATCCTTCCCACAGGCTCCTCGTCCTCACTACCCACACACTCTACCGCCGAGTCAGAACTTTGACATCTCCGGAGTGTCTCTTCCTCTACCGTGCATGTCGCCCATAACTGGTCCTCCTCACTACTAGCTGGACTGAGAGGACTCCCTGACAACACCGGCGAAGGGTCCGAGCATCCCTCGTCCGATACACTACTGGGACTACCGGCGGACTTGCGTTTGTTTTTACGAAACGTAGGTAACGCCAGATACGTGGGCGATGTCACAGAAGAACTCGACTGAGCGTTGCCCATCGCGTCTTTCTCGAGAGACAAACTAAACCTTTTTAATTTTTTGCAAATTTTGTCTTTTTTTACAGAGTCAATTTTCGAGTCGGTTTCAAGATTGGGGAGAGAACTTCGCACAGACTTCCTGGACGACTTGCACGCCGACCTCTCCATGTGTCGCCGGATGAGTTGCGTGTATCTGTGTATGAGCGCCTCCACTCTCGAGGTACCCTGAGGTTCAATATCCTCCGGGTGTCCCGTCGTCGTCACCACTCCGGTCCTGCGCACCCTCACCTCGGGCTCCACTACACTCGCACTTCCGACACTCGCGACCGCCACTTCCGGTGTTCGCTCGGCGGTGTTATCGTCCCAACTGTCATCGCGTCCCACCAGAGTCTCTGTGGAGGCGGTCATGTCGCTGCATGCGGATGCGCTCTGTCGGCGTCCGCTCCAACTACACACCGCTCTACGCGCCGGGCTGAAAACATTAGTGGTACAACCCGTCGCGAAAACGTTCTCCTCAGAGTTGTGCAAGGTGTCGTTGGAACCGTCCAGGGTCTTCAGCCTGGCCAGACCGGAGTCTATGGCCAAGGTGCTGACGAACCTCGGGGACGAGTGCTGCGCCTGGCGGAGTTGGTCCCTCACGAACACCGCGGACTTTGGCCGAGCTCTGTCTGCCAGGAAGGGACGGTCGTTGGTGATCTCGGTGTCGGAGTTGCCTCTGATAAGATGGTTCATGTACTTCCGGTAGGACCCTCGGCTGAAGGGCAGTCCTATGTCCTCACCCGGAGGCTCCGGCGTACTCCTGGCCGGACCCTTGACTACCGGGGGACTCCGCCCCTCCGGCCCCACCCATGACTGCGACCCTGTCACCTCCTCTTCCACCTTGCTGCTCCAGAACCCCGCCACACTGCAACAAACCATAAACGGTTACTGGCAATAACTGAGTAACACGTTGACAAATATTGTAGGTTATGGTTAGGGTATTATTTATCAGTTGCTCTCTCACACAGCAGATCACGATAGCTTATGTTACTAGTTGTCATGGCGTTTAAGCTTATTCATCAATCTTTAAAATATTACAATATAATAATTTGAATACTGATGACGGAAATGAAATATAAAAATGTTGCACTAAATCTTAATTTTTTATTCATCACGAATCGGATTATATGTTTTGCCTACTCGTGTCAACTAAAATATACAGAAACCGAAAGATTAAAAATGTCAACGTTTAAAGAAATAACATAACAATACAATGAACACTGTTCAAGTACTTATAATGATGGGTTGATTTTGACTGAAGGGATTTTGCTCAAACAAGTAGTATTAATGGAAGCTGTTTTTTTTTTATTTTGCCATTCTGGTTAACTAATAGGCTACTACAGCATTGTTAGTACAGTACAGTAGCATAGATTAAACATACTCCCTAAGGGGGTATGTTTAATCTATGACAGTAGTTTCAAAACATTGAATAAATATCACTTTAACAGTCAATCGTATTAGTAATGCAACTCTGCTTATTTTATTTTCAGGTATTCTCACTACTAGAAAATCCTATTAGTTTGCCAAATTTGCAAAACTTTATGTATGCAGAGGTTCTTGAAGTAACAACAGCTATAGTTACCGGTACCTTCAGAAATCAAAATATTTGATTCTCTGTGATCATTACTCGTATTAACAAATATGTACCCGTCTCATTAATATCCTTCCTTTTATTTTTTACACAAAATGAGTAGTCAATGTAAATCTTTACAAAATAGACTTAACAAAGTAATGGAGTAGAATGACTATTTAATCTGATATCAACGTTACCGATCTAATAAGAGATGCTCCTGGGTTCAAATCCCGCAAATCACCAATTGATTTCATCTATATGATAATGCCGCGACCATCTAGGACTAGCCTGAAGTAATGTGTAAAACAGTTCCGGACTAGAACTAGCATCCTACGACATAAAAAAAATAAAAAATACGAGATGTAAAGCAAATTTAAACAGTGTTTTCTTGCAAACTCAAATTTGGGCAACCCAGTGTTCGCATTAGATAAGACCTTTAGAATGGCAAGGCCAACTGTACTCCCGAGCCCAAGTAAAGGAGCTTAAACACCATGCTATATTCAAATCAAGGCCCTCTACTTCGAAGACAACAAACCAACTCCATACACCACAGAGAAGTGGGAACTTCTTGGATTGGTTAATTGATTCTCTTGGTTGCTTCTCTGTGGATACACCACATGGGTGATTTCATTAATGGTCAAAGTTTATTAAAAAGGCATATGAAAAATTTAAAACGAAAGTTACCGGCCAATGCATAGTGTTATATTTTAATAGTTTCTTTAGTGAATGAGATATTTTTTCCCGAGGACGCTAGGCACGAGCCTGGGTTTGTTTTTCACACTAGGTACTTCAGGCTAGACCTACGGGTTGCGCTATCACTTATTTAAAATCCATTGGTGATTTAGCGGGATTTGAACCCGAACCCGGGACCTCTTGGACCGAAGCGTAGTGTAGTGGGGTCTTGCCGAAGCCCTGCGCTTTGACCACTAGACCAGCTCTCCCCCCCCCCTAGTGGATAAGATAATAAACTCGCAATTTCAAGCTCAATAAACCATAACGGGCGCACATGAAAAGAGCCCAAAAACTCAGGCAGACGCTTGAAAAGCGCCCGGACCTCCAAGGTCCCAACCAGGATGGTACGAAAAGAGCCCGGTCTCTTTTTAGAACTTTCACAACGGGTCTTCAAAATATAAAGAACAAATAACACAGTTGAATTACATGAAATTATTTACAATATTAAAAGATACACTTTTAAAAGATACATTAATAAAATATATATTATTCAAAGATATTTACATTACTAAGATATAGTCTGTTTACCTAACCTAACCTAACCTAAACTAACCTAACCTAACTTAACCTAACCTAACCCAACCAAACACAACACTATTTACTAAAACACTAATATATATACACACACAATTTATAGTCAGCTTCCTCCTCCTCAGGTACCTGTGGAGACCCGGGCTCTTTCCATGCTTAAGATTAGTGAACCTTTTTAGGGATTAAAATTTTGGGCTCTTTTCATGCGCTCCGACCATAACACAACCGTTTTGGAATGCCCTCCGAGTACCTATGTAGTTAAGTGTTGTAGAGACAATACAGTATTGACTTCGTGGACACACTGTTGACTGTTGAATCGTACATCACAGACCTTCAATCACTTGCGCTTGCGTAACCGGTTCATCTATTCGGAACGCGTTCGACGAGGAATCTTGCAAGGTGTCAGCACGTGCGTGTGTGTGCGTGTGTAAGAGCGTGTATGTGTGTATGTGCAAGCAGAATATTGAGACTAGTCCGCGGGCGGCCTGACTCATTGCTTGTCGACCTACATACGCACACATACGACGCATACACTCGCACTTGTAGAAGTGCATACACTCACACACATACACATAAACTGTGAGAACACCAGACCACCACACCCGGCTCGTATCTCTTTCATTTGAATAAACGTTATCTAGTTTAATAATTTAGACGAGGTGTTTTAAAATTTAAATAGACCCCTACCTCTGCCATAGTGCACCGCCAAACAAGCTAACATAGTTTGTATTTGAATTATTACACTGGAAGGATTATGTACACGTATTTTTAAACATCAAAATTTATAATGTTGTTTGTACTTTTGTATACACCCGATATATAGTTACTTTTAAAAATAGTGGACTAGAATTGTATTTTGTTTATTAAGTTTTTATTCAAGTTTGTGGATAATTAAGTAAAAATGTATAAAGTGCCTCAACAAGCAAGCTTCAACAGTTATGTGTTTTCAATTGATAAAATTAGCGACAACGTGTTATGCATAGCAATTAACTTGACTATTGTTTTACAGCACAAAACCAAAGAGGCTCTCTTTTGACGTAAAATTCACCCAAGTCAGTTGCATCAGAAGTTTAATATTTAAGAATCACACCACACGTAATCTCTTTGATTGTAGAAATAAGGCATTCAATATCCATGTTAAAATTTAATATCCCAGTTTCAGAATAAAAATTCCAGTAGTTTAATTGAGCCCCCAACCAAACCAAACTTAAATTCTATCTCATTAGCTTTTCCTGTCGCGACATGTCTTAGTTTTAAAACCCAAGACCAAATGTAATTTAGACATAGTTCACACAATTATGTTCCATTTGAATTGAAAGTTGATTACAGCTAATCTATACAGATGTGTCTACCCTGGTTACCAAAGTTAACGGTTACTACTGCACAATCTAGTGCGATAGATTGCATGTCCATTAGTGCAGTGAATGCACCTAGCCAGTCACGTTTGATTTACTGCCTAATCAATCAACTGGTTGAATCGTTGAATGATGTGTTGAGGCCACTGAGTTGTCGACCTCATCAGCTGTTGATTGTGTCGCTGACGCGCTGATCGACCATTCAGCGATCGATTACTGCAGCATGATTTATACTTAGTAAGTTACAAATGATGTTGAGTTTTAAACTGGTTTCTACGACTGTTGGGCTTGCACAATAGCATACGCTGGAACAAGTTATGAAAAAAGTAACACGAAATATTAAGGTTGTTCCTTAATTGCGCAAAGACCACAATGGTCCCAAAAAATGTTCCTTGGTTGTGCCAAGCCCAATCCAGGAGTAGTATGTTTTCTGTGGTAAGGGTGATTTGCCGGCAGAAGGAGTTTCCTTGTTTAAGTATAATACTAAACTAACCTAACGTAACCCAACCTAACCTAACCTAACCTAACCTAACAAAACCTAACCCAACCTAACTCAACCTAACCCAACCTAACCTAGCCCAACCTAACCTTAACCTACTAAATTATACAGTCAAAGAGGGCCGTGACATGGTTTAGTTAAGGGATGTATCGGGTGTGCCCTGGAGTAGTTGGCGCAATTCAGGAATACCCGACTACCAGGCTCAGGTCAGATGGCGCAATTAATGCCCGCCCAATATTAACTTTCTACGAGGGATTTCCAAGAATAGACAGCTAGTTAGGGATGGTTAGGGATAGTTTTAGCATTAACCTGTTGGGTACTGAAGTAGACCTCCATCCATAATATGGTTTTAGTCAATCTTTTATTCAGATTAAACATGGTTCAACAAGCCTCTCACAGAATGCGCTATTTTTCAAATTATTTTTCCTCTCTGTGATGCAATGACACAAAACATGCTACATCAAATCAAAATATCTTTTTTCGTCATCTGTAAAATATGCTTGGTACATTGAATAGTGTCAATGAATAGCCTATATTACATTTAAAATATTTGCAACATAGGCCCTAAAATTAAAAATGTAATCAAATAAAATGTATAGTACAAATTCTTAAAATATCGAACAGAACTTAAGTCACAGACAATGGTTTTAAACATCAGCACTAAATGGACTAAATTAAATTAAACTAACTAACCTCTATAAAAATTCTCTAGTGAACATGTTTTAGTTGTTTTAGGTTTTAGAAATTCTTTTAGCAAAATTGGAGTTCAGGGCGAGTAAAAAGTTTCTCGTTGCCATTTTTATATTATTTTATATATTTTATTTTTAGCTATTTTGAATTTTTTTATCTTGCAGTCATCATCATGTTAAAACGATTATTTTGTTTGTTTTAACGTACAAAACTAAAATCACTCGGTTATCTTATCACTGCCACGTCGTGTCAAACTACTAAATTTTCAATTTCAAGTTATTAGGATAATCTAGAATACAGTTAGGCAAAAATTGAAAAGTAAATTAAACCAATAGTTGTCAAAATATAACTTTGAAAAATATTCACTGTTCACCTTCACTTTTTTTTGTGCCAAAATACTAACATAGTGTAGTACTAAAACTGTACTCTGCTGTCAGCACTGTTACTAATATATACTAAAAAGTGTCAGAAAATTAAAATCTTCT